GCTGTCCCATTTTATCACCGACAGCAGGTGCACCTGAAGACCAGCGAGTTTGTCAAGGGAGCGCGCCTTACCTCCGCTCCTCACCGCACTCTTCACTACAGCAGCATTTGTTCCACCTGCCAGCTTGGAGGGGATAAGCAGGCATCAAACGCACGAAACGTGGCCTCCCCTTGCCAATGTGGGCTCCGAGATCCCATCATCCCTGACATTGATGAGGGTGTACCAACGTGGCCGCATGGCGGCCAGTGGTTGCCTGCACAGGCTGAACGGCAGCAATCCCTGGCTCGTGGAGGAGCTCAGAACCGACCGGAAGTCGATGAGAATGGGGAACAAGCCGTGCGAGCGTTTCCGCTACTGTGAGGTGCAGTGGGCGATCGGGCACTGGGACTGCGTCGCTTGGGCTGCTGTAGTCTGCATTGTGTTGTTGAGAATACCCTCCAGCACGGCTGCAAGCCAGTGCCAGTTGTAGCCCCTCCCATTCAGCGCAGCGACAGCATGAAAAAAGGTGACCAGTGTGAGCGGCGAGGCCTCACCGATGGGCCTCTCCTAGTCACGTCAAGCCGGGAGGACAATGCCGAGGAGGAGTCGATATAACCAGCTCTCTATCTCATCTTCCCCTGTCATCTCTGTGGCAATTTCCCATTGTCCAGCTCGGATCGTCATTGCTCATCAAGGTGCCACTACAATGTGTGAAGCCCAACAGCCGGCTCAACTGCACAGCGTTCGGAATCATGGTGGAGGAATAGACGTACTCAGTCAAATGCTTGTAGACCAGAGGGTTGAGCAGAATGGAATGTGTGATCCGCTCTGCAGAATCTTGGCCAAACACCTTTTGCAGCTACGGTCCAAAAAACGAAAGGCGTTCAGCAAGCCTGTGTAATCTGGGATGTTCGCGACATGGACTATGTCCCAAGATGAAGGCCCGTGGATTAAGGCAGCTGAGTGCATGTCTCCACACACAATCTCAATTTTAAGGGCATCCTCAGACACCAACCTTTGTACCGCAGAGGCCACACCACAAAACCATGCAGCCACGAAATCAAAGACAGAACGCGCTTCCTTCTCAAATGCCTCAGCTGCAAAGGGGTAATTACTTCCAAGCACGGTCTTCTGGAAAAGCAGGTCTTCAATCATCTCTCGAGTTTCTGCAGGCCTGAACATCAGGAACAACTCTTGGCTGCCCAAGCCAACAGCAAACTCGGATACGGGGTTGAGGTCTGGCTTCCACCCAAATGAGGCAGGAATACATCGCCATACATCGACCCAATCTCGGCACTCAACTCACTGCAAGCTAAGATATTCTCAGACGTACTCTCAACCATAGGTGTGCTTGCCTAAAGCCACATCCATCATGATGCTCTTTCTGCATCTTGGTTAACCTGCAAATGTATTAAGCGAATTTTCAGTCTTGGTGGGTTTGAAGTTCAAACAGTTTGAGTCTACATAAGATGCAATCGACTGTTCAAAATTTCAGTGGTCGATTTGCATCCTATGTAGACTCAAAACAACTGGCTCGAAAAGCCACCAGCGACCTGAATTAATTACCGAATAGCCGACAGCGACTCGAATATTCGGACAATTCAACTGGCCTAATACGCTGAAGCATGCCCTAGTTAGGACAACATGCAACAACAAAAATGCCCCCCAACGCCGACGCACAGTAATCGAGGACTTCTCGTCTTGGGATTACGCAAACTTGTCAACACTATGGCTGCATGTATGCAGCTGCTATATGGCGCGTGTCAAATTCCACCATGCCGTCCGCAAAGCTGACTCATCATCTTGGCGATGGCGACAGGCCTGTTCGTTGCAATACGCGAAGCGATCGGCAACTTGTCAACTGTAGTTGACAGACTGCGATTGAGAAAAATGCCTCTGGAAAGGGACAGAACAGCGAGCAGCTGGTTGGAGGCCAATAGAGCCAAACGATTAAGAGGATGGCCGGCCTTTCTTTGGCCGTGTGCCCTATGCAAGCCGATACTCGGTGGAAACTCCGCCAGGAGCAAAGTGCGCCAAAAATTAACAGCTGGTGCCTGTAGCTGCGCAATTTGATATGCGTGAGTATCTTACCGTTCTATCGTCTGGCGTGCAGGATTTCATGGTGCTTGAGGGATGCTTGTTTGCTTTGTCGAATGCATGCATTGAGTGTCCGTGACGAACAGAGCAACTTCAGTGCACACCGTCATTCCGTGGTCGGTCCCAGTACAACAGTAACCATGCGGCACAGAGGAATGCCGTTCATAGGCTGGCGCGAATTCCTGGAAAATGGGCCATGGGCCAAACTGGGAAGAAGAAACGAGCACGCAATCCCACACGTGCTTTGTACATCTGCGGAATGGGGACTCGTCCTTGTGAGTGTGGGCTGCGGGAGCCTCGTCACATGTCGTGACCAAGCAAACTCTTGACTTGCATGTTCCAAGCGGGTGTTGCGGCAGAACTGCTCTCTAATCGGTATCCTCTGCAGTGCAGGGATTGACGCCCAGTGGAGCTGCTGGGCCCCTTTCTGCCGCATCTGTTTGGGTCGTTGGGTGGATGTTTACGCCGGCGTAAAGCCAGAGGTGTGACGACACCAACAAGATGGGACAGAAAGCGGGCCAGCAGCTCCACTGGGCGTCAATCGCTGCGATGACGACATCGCATCTGTTGATGCCAGCGACCGCAGGCAGTGCTGTTCCAATGTACGCCGACCTGCAATAAGCATCGCACAAGGTGACGCGGGGACAGCGTCTCTGTCCACCACATTGGAGAACAACTGCCATCAATGCGGGTGCTTGCCAGCGGCGCAGCCAGCTCCTGCGGGGGCCATGCACAGGCATCGCCAGACCCAGCCAAGCATTCACGCAAAGTACAGCGTGATCCAGAACACAGCGCAATGTATGGCAAACTGGCGCAGTCGCTGAGATGGACGCCCTCACAGGCTGAATAGACCTTGGGTCCGCATCTTTAGAACAGCTCCCTACACCTTGTGCGTACAAACGCATCAGGGTCTCCGTCAGGCACTGGGGTCCCCCGGACCCTCCGCCCGATTCCGCATGGGACAGGTGACGCCCACCATGGGTAGCCGTGCAGGAAGCCACCCAAGACTGGACTGCGTGCAGAGAGCCCACACAGAGCCTACGCTCTGGTCCAGACAGCTCCAATACATTGAAGCGCCAACGGGGGCGCACTCCTTATTACGAGCGTTGCCACGGGCCAAAACGGCAGCGAAGGCCATTTTCCCAACAGGAAGCCACATACTTGCCAGCAAATATGTGGCGCCACAACTGGCCCGTTCCTTGCCGGAGAAAGGGCAGGTTGGGCTTCCAAAGCCACGTCAGCGCACCACGCGCACACACCACCGCCCACATCAGCACCATCCCAGTCCCAGCCAATTCACCATTTACAAATTGCGCGCCCCGCGCTATCGAGAAGTCGCCCGGACGCCCTCGCCGAACTGCTGCCACTGCCCCCCTCTTCCCACTCCGGCCAACCCAATCCGTCGCCCCACTGACGAATTACACAATGGTACACAGCTGGATCCGCACCCGCGGCCAAGGACCACTGGGCCTTAGGACACGCCTCGGCAACATCGATACAAACAAGCGTCCAGGCAAACGTGCAACCAGCCCAGTACTCTAGCAATACAGGCCGTTGCAAACTTGCCAGTGCTTTGTTCCTGAGAACAGGCTGGGGGTCGCCCTGACATCGACCCAGGGGCGTCTCAACCAGTCAGATGGAGTCGCCCTGCAAGGCCGCTCCCGAGAAAGCACCAAGGAACTTGGGGCAAGAGTGCACCCATCGCAGTACTCCCCAATGCGCACGGCTCGCAGCATTTTATGGTGCACGGGAGGAGGGAACCCGTCTTCGGCGGATGCTGCAAAAGCACGCCCCACCCCTCCAGGGGTTAGGGACGTCAAAACATTAGGAATCTAGGACATTGGGATCCCTCGCGGACAAACGTCCCGAGGTGGTATCGTTTCTTGGGCCACCGGATGCCGGCGTCGGCAGCGCGTCCCACCCCCTCCCCTCCCCCGCCATGTGACCCGGCTAACCCAGATCTCTGCGGCAACAACCACTTCCGTCCAACGCACTGCGCGTCAAGCTCGACAAAATTATGCAGATGCCAATGGAGGGCCTGGCGTGGGAGGTAGGCAACCCTTCCCCCTTCCAGTGCCCCCGTGTCGACAGGGAAAAAAAAACTCGCACTGCGAATGGACACAGCACCAGCTATGCGGGGTGGCTGAGGGGACAGGTGCCCGCTTTTGGCCAAGGCCTGGCCCGCTGCTCCAGCACTTTATGACCAGTTCCCACCGTTCCGCAGCCCCAAGTCCAAGCCCCAGCCCCCACCACCACCCCCGTCGCACCCCGGAATAAAATAATGCCCCAAACAAGAATGTTGGCGCACCCTGCAGTGTTTTCTACGGGAAAGCCGTCCAGACTCCCCCAGGCTTGGAAAGGTACATACTCTTGCCACCCACCTCCACACCCGCATCCTAAGCCGCCACCGCCTTGCCTGTCGGCCCGTGCACCCAGGCCTACTGAAAACCCAATGACCGTCTACAACCGCAGCTGCCACCCACGTGCACCAACCACCCAACTGCATGACTACAAACAGGCAACACAAAAGACAACACAGACAGGTGGGTCGTTCCTCTTCCAGGAGATGCCTACAAAACCGCCCATATCTTCCTCAAGAATTGAAAACCCCGCCGCAGGCTTAAACTTGCCGCCAGCGGAGGCCACTTCGCAGGGGCCAATCAAGAATCACGTCATCCTAGCCGGGCTGATGTCTGTTCATGCTCATCAGCACATCACATCTTCAGGCAGCTGTTGTCCACTGCCCGCGCAAACACACAGATTGACATGGCCCACATCAGCCACCTGCCAGCTCTCCCCATGGCCATCAGCACAGCCGTTCACCTACTTCATAGATCGTCTATTCCTTCAGACCCCAGCCTCTGGCCTTCGCAGCCACTGCGGAAGGGATGAGCTTGCGCCATCCCTACCGCCCGTCGCCCCCCCTAATCGCTGGGCATCCACCGTGGACTGTGTGACCTGTCCATCTCCGGCCAGTACACAGCCTCGTACTCGATGTTTCGGAAGACAGGTGGCATCTTGGCCAGAGACTTCTGGAAGTAGGTTCGCCTCTTGTCCATAGCGCGGTCGAACTCAGGGTCGATTTGAGTCAGCGGTACGCGGCCGCTCATGGGCTGGTGGCTGTCCATGCCTCCACAAGACACCTTGGGGCAGCCACCCACGATGTCCTTGCAGTCCCTGCAAGGCAACGGGCGTGATTTAGACAACATGAGGACCCATACAGCAACCTCAACAACACAGCACACAACTGAATGCTGTGAAGAGTTAAAACTGAATGCTTGAATAAATCTATGTGCCACCATGCAATGCAAGCCGTACCTGAACTTCTCTCGCAGAACAGCTGAAGGCGCGGGCGGTGGCGCGGTCAAAGTTCCCATCCGCTGCTGGTGCCAGAGAGACTGCAAGAAGCTCAGGCAGTCACTGAAGGTGGGCCTGCATTACAGCAAAGGAAGGCGTCCAAAGGTGTGCATACAAGTCAGTGCAGCCAAGATGCAGCCAAGGCGGCAGAACGGACGCCGACATAGCCGATCAAAACCAAAGCAAACGTTGAGGAGAGGTCAGAAACCGACCGAAACAGCAGCAAAAGTCAGCAATGAACAGCAGAGCAATATCTTGTCCGAGGAAATGACTACGGCAGGACTGGCAAGGCTTAGTTGCAAGAGCACAGTGCACTCCAGTCACGGGAACTCACACATCCACGCCTGCCAATGATGAACAGACTGTGCATTCCACTGCCAAACTAGACGCAAATTCAATCTTGAGTAGGCACTGCAAACACAACAAATAGATATTGAAGAAACTGAGCTCGCCCTTTGAACCCCTTTGCATCGATATACGCCGTGCGCTTTTGCCTTGCGCTCAGTGGCATCCACAGCATCTCACCTTTGGAAAAAAGTCTTGCACACACACTGTTCAGGAGCAAGTTGTCTGCCAGGAGATGTCTGCTATGACATGGAACAATATGTCTGCTACCACATGCTTTCCTTTCTGCTGTAAAGGCTCTTCTGACTGGTGGTTCTCATAGCCTGCTAGGGAACTGATGCTACCTGATGATCTGTAGTAAACATAGATATGGGGTCATGACCAAGGTACCATTTTCAATCGCTGCAATTGATGAGTTCAAGCTTTCTGCCTGTGGGAACAGCAAGTGCTGCACCCAAGTGACTCTGAGCAGCCTCACCTTCCAGATGGAACTGGGTGCATGCAGGCAACTGCAAGCACCCCATACATTGCAGGGCACTGCCATGGCAGGCGAGGGAACTCTGAAAACATCTCCTCAGTTGGCTCGCCCTTGGGAGCCAGCTGGCTCGTGTACATCTCCCACACTGAAACACAGTGACGGTACAAGTCTTACTCCACAGATAAATCACTCAATACATCACAAACAAAGGGAGATTTCATCGAACTCCCCAAAAGCACCAAACAGTGACAAAAAAGCACTGCACAAGTCCCAACCAGCTACAGGCACAATAGGTACTGCAGGAAGAAGAAGGCCAGGTGTGATTGGCAGAGGCACAGAAGCCCAACTTACGAATCACAGGATTGTGGAACAATAGACTGCGAACAATTAACCACGATGAATCAACACACTTGCAAAGGGAGAAAAGAATGCTAAACAAAATCGTTGTACCCACTTGCACACGTACATTGGGTTGATGAATGCACAGCACTAATAACAGCTGCGTGGCCACATCGCCTTGCAAGTGAATGGAGAAGTCCTGGTCAAACTCCCAACTCGGTATGCAACTCCAATGCGCAAAGTGCCGATTTCACACTTACACACGACACCGAAGGCGTAGACATCTGCTGCCTTGCTGGCGCTACCCTCCTCCATGACTTCCCTGGCCATGTAGAAGGGCTCGCCCTGCTGCACGTTTGACACGTGCGTCTGCTCGCTGTTCATCTTCAGACTGAGACCTGTTGACCATGTCCCACATGCAGACAGCATTCATTTTTCTGTCTGTACAGTTGAAGAACATGACTATCCAGGACAATCAGTATTCAGCACAAGACCTGAGACAAACGAATAGGCAAGCAGTTATGATGGTGCTGTGGTGACTGTTCGCGACAGGACACAGGTAAGTTCATTTAGCAACAAGCACAGACACACAATGTGAACTGATCATGCCCTGTCAGCAACAAACAATGCAGAGCTAAAACAGTGCCTTTCACTGCCTTTGAGCGTGATCTTCATCATACGACCACCATCAGCAAATGCCTGTGCTCGCCACACACTTCTTCTGCGTTTTCACCCTGCCACTGGAGACCTCCACATTAACTTCTACACTTTGCAATAGAGTCTCACAGGAGCAGGGGCATATGCAATCTAATCTTCTCTTCAATGTTCTAGTGAATATCCATTCACCTCAATGGGCAAATCAAGTGCTCGCGCAATCGAGGGCACTAGGTTTACATTCCAACTTAACAGCATAAGCACTACTGCACTTGCAGGGCACATACCATGGTGCTCCCAGGGCACTTTTGTACACCTGCTCCAGGGTGTATGACAACACCTATGCTGGCAACTACAAGTTCAGCAACTTAGCAACTCAACCGGACACATTCACCCAGCGCTTCATTACTCACCAAAGTCCGCAATCTTGGCCAGCATTCGTGTGTGTGTGTCCAGCGCAGTCTTCAGGAGAACGTTGCTGGGCTTCAGGTTCCCATGGAGGATGTTTTTGGAGTGAATGTGATGCATTCCTTTAGCTATGCCTGTGGCTATTTCCAGTAGAGCTTTCTGCACAGGCAATTGAGGCGATCAACGCACAACCGCTGGGTTGCATGGGTGCAGCAAGGACTGCTTCACATCTGTTAGCCTTCTCCTTATCGAGGTTGGATTTACGGCTTGGATGCTTTGCAGGGCGAACTGATACAGTTTGATGAGGAAAAATACAAGAAAACAAAAAGGCAAGCAACCTCAACACCCACTAATTGACCACCATGGACTTTTCTGACAGTCCAACACATGCACGGTCAAGGAACACATGCAAGGTTTCAGCTGCAACATGGGCAACCTGACCGCGTGTACATGCCTAGCTGAACAGCTCACAAACAAGGGGGGGGGGCCAGCCGGGCACATGCGATTCCAAGATTGCCTTATCATGTAGACAATAGCACTTGAGGAACTGAGCTTCCTGAGTTTCCATAAGCACCATCAATGCAATGGAAACAGAAGTGATGAAGGAGAAGCAGATTCCCCAAAACAGCGATTGCCCATAAGTCAGCAAATTCACTGAAACGAAAAGAAAACAATACAACACCAAGAAACAGCATTTCCCTACTTGAAAAGCCTGTTAAAACAATTGATCAGGAGTCAATAAAGGCAAAGATAAACCACCCACCAGATCTGGAGTGTCAGTCCGCCTGTCTGTGAACTCCTTGTCCCTCAGTGCCGTCTGCAGTGTGCCCCTCTCACAGAATTCCTGAATGATGAACAGCTTCCAGTCCACATAGGAGTCCAGAATGTTCACCCCGCTCTTGTTCTTCAGCCCTGCCACCCTGGCCTCCAGGCTGCCCGGCTGCAGGCGCTTGATGTCATACGAGTACGTGCACACGACATTGGGGTGTGCAAGGCCAGAGGTGATGGCCACCTCGCGGATGGCCTGCTGGTGGAAGTCCTTGTCGCCCTCACCACGGAAGACGATGGTCTTCACAGCCACCTCCAGCTCCCGCCACACGCCTGCGTGGGTGGTGCACACCTTAGCCCCGTGATGAAAACAGCATTGTGAATACTCGACTTTGAGCCTGTTATGCTGACCTGTCAGGGCTGCAAGTGCGACCAGCCCTAACCCAAACGCCAGCCATTGAGGCGCCTACTCTCCATAGTGTGATCACATTCCAAATCACCGTCTGGGTCCACATCCCCACCATTCTCCTGGAATACCGAAACATACACTCAAAACTACAGATGTCTTCCCACAGTCCCAGTCACATCACATATCATCATATACATCACATATAAAAAGCAGCTAAATACGGCAACAGATCAAGCAACACATCAGATAAAAGTCCAAAAACAGGAAAGGCAAACCACTCACCCTTGTGGACCGATCCATTCTGCCCCTGTCCAAGCAGCTCCTTGACCACCAGCTGCTTGTCGTCGATGTCGTTGCTGACTTTGAGGATGTCAGGGATGAACTCTGCGGCCTGAGAGCCGCCCACGTCCGCAGGGGTCAGCTTGAAATCGGTGCCCAGGCCCATGCCATCGTGGGACAGGGCCGGCAGTTGGTCCAGCTTGTCCTGCTCAAACTGGTCAGGACACAGATAGAGAACCCTTCAGAAAACCTGCATCTCTGCACATTACTGTAGTGGGCAATGTGCACTCCACATGCTGCGCTAGGACAGCACAGAAGTAACTTTATTTTCAAATCAGAACAGAAGGCTCTAGACGTACGGCCGAGGTTCCCAAAACTAGGGTTGTCTTGGGCTGCGGGATAGGTCATTGTGTTTTCGAGGCGCCTGTGCATGGATCTACACTGTGGGGCAACAGTGTGGGAAGCCGTTCAGCTTCTCCTGCTAGACCTGGGTGGCCCACTGACCAAGCGTGCTCTCCAGCAGAGTTACCCCCTGCATTCCCAACTCCATCCCATACCCTGTTCTGGCCTGGCAAGCCCAACCAAAGCCACTTTGGCAACTCACTAAGTGTGATTGGTCCAGTCCCCAAACACCAGCTGTTGGAACTCACAGCATCTGAACGACCCAATCAACAGTGGACATCCTCCAGCTGCACCAGAAGCCATGAACTCATTAAAGCCAGCATGGAAGTCAGGGCAGCCAGATCGCGAACTTCGGAAACTCACTGAGTCGCTCATCGAGTGCTTCATGTTTTTGTCCCGCAGCGAGTCCGTGGGGTCCTTGCCCGCCTCCATGTCATACTGCTTCAGCTTGGCGCCCGCTTCTGCCCTGGCCTTCTTGCCAGCACCCGATCGGATATGCCTGTTGCTGCGGCACTTCCATACCAGCAAGGCGGCCAGCACGGCGATGCACGGCACCAAGACACCAAGGCCCACCTTGAAGAGGGTGGAAGACGTGCCCAAGCTGTTGTCTGGGGCAGGGGATGTAGCAGACGCTGCAAGGGGATACAGTGGCAGGGACTGTGGAATCGCAGTGATGGAACAGCGGCAAGACTGTGACAAGGGTTGGGCAGAGTTGTAGTGGGGAGCAACTGGACAGCAACACGACAGTGGCAAGTGCGTCCTACTACAGCAACAACTGACGGCAATGCTGTGGCAAGAAATGAGAAATCAGTAAGAAAGTTTAACATGTGCATCTTGACATTAACATGAAACTGCAAAGTTGCGGAAGCAGCTCACGTTCTCTTGGCGGCGGGGAAGGCACAGGGTCAGAAGCAGTTGTGGCCAGTGGGCTCATCAGCTGGAAGTCAACAACCATTGGGGTGCCATGGCTGGGCTTGCATGTGAGGTTCACGTCTTGCAGCTCGAGACCAAAGGCCAAGCCCCGCTGCACCCTGATGATGCCATTGGAGGCGCTGTCGATCTGAAGGATGTGAGCAAACAGCAAACAGCCTGTCAAACAAGTTCAGAAAACCAATCTCCAGAATTGGGAACCACAACTCCTGGATTTTTAAACATTCAAATCTCTGAGCTCCTGTACATTTCAGTCTTCAAAAAAAACGTGCAACCACCTGTAATCCCGGCAAAGAGTCCAACACACCGACTGGCCTTCAACCTGAGCCCACCATCCAGTCGACACCACTTGGCTCCTGGTAAGGTGGCGTCCAACTGACAGAGCCTGATCAAATGTCAGGGAACAACTATGAAGACTGGTCTACGTCAATCAGATGCAAACACCACGTGTGGACTGCATGCGATCCACAGTTTGATCCCAAAATAGAAGGATGCCTCACCGTCCAGTCCTTGCTGTTCAGCTTCAAGAATGGCAACTGTGGCAGCAGTGTCTGCAGGGGGTCATTGAGCAGCGCCACAGCGTATTCGAAATGCTCAAGCTCTCGGCATGATACCACCATGGTGGAGTTGCCAATCGTCACAATTGTGGAATTGCTGTTCCTGAGCACAACGCCAAAACGCCATGCAGCACGTTAGGTATGGTTGGTTTGTTGGGATGTGATGTTCAGGACAGCACAGGCATTCATGCACATTCTGGAAACAACAGTTGCAGAGATCAAACAGTTCAGCATCACCTTGTGTATTGAAGACTTTCCAGGATTCACAGTCACTACAGCTTGCAGTACAGTCGCTTTCAAGTTCAGATCGAAGCGATGAACAAGATCGATTCGTCATTTGTCCAACAGGACAGTATTCAATAAAGGAAGAGTTCATCAACCCTGGCCCCACCTTTCAAAGTCCAGGAACCACATCAGGAAGCCGTAGTGCATTTCCAGCGGCCCCAGCGCCAAGTTGAGCAGCTCCAGGTCCCTGAATTCAACCTGCACCCCATTTTTCACTTTCAGGGCCTTGCTGACGAGCCCCAAGTCCAAAAGCGGCACCTTTTCAAACGGTCCGTGGGTTGCACGACGGCCCAGCACAGCGAAGCGACGGCCAATCATTGCCTGCTCCTGCTCCCCAAGTTCGTCGCGGAAGTCGCTCTTTTCAAGCGAGATGTCCTCCTGCAGGTGTCCAGCGATTGCAAGAACGTCAAATCGACTGCATGACCTTCACGCAAAACTAACTCGAAACTGCAGGAAATCATATGTAAGGCAAGCTAGCTGTGCAAAATCCGATTGCAGTTCCAGTTTGCCACACAATTGGACTCTCAATGTGTTGGCCAAGCAAGGCACACAGCAATGCTTCGATTCTTCTTGCGTGACACAGGAGAATACGTGGATTCACGTTCATATGGATACAAATGATTCTGATGCAATTCGGGCGGCTGACACTAACCCCATCAAGCAGTTCGAGCTGCCCTTGCGGACCCATATGGAGATCTTCCAGCATGCTACGCAAGGAGACAACAAAACAAGCAGCCACCAAATGAGCAGACACAGCAAGTCGCCTCATATACCTGTATTTCAAGGTGGTCAGTGAACAAGCCGTTCCAGGTCTTCATGGCGTTGACCATCCCAATACTGTTGACGATGCCCTGTCCACCACGACCATCCTCATCCCTGTTGTGCTCAGCGAAGGTCCAGTGGCTGATGGTCAGATCCTTCACAGTCACCACATCGGAGGTGTACTCGGATATCACGATCGCATCCTCACCACTGGGCACCACAGTTTCCTGCAGACACCATACATGTTTCATGATTCGGTCATTGAGCACTTGCAGTTGCAAATGCACTCCTGGACATGAAGTCTGATAGCATGCAGGGACTGTTATGCGATTTCTGTGGATGATCTAGACTGCACTTGATACTCCTCACCAATGCAAGCACTGCAACAAGCAGCTGAAGGCAGGCCATGAAGGAGAACGCAAAATTGAACGAACAGGGGACAAACATTCTCATGCAGGGGATGTGCTCATCATCGCCCACAGGGCCCTGCCTTGTCCCATGGGGGCACACATAGTGCAGGGAACTCAGCTTGCAACCTCTCTGCAATAGCGCAGCTCAGGCTGGCTGGCATCCTGACATGCAGCCCAATTCAGCCTCACTGCTCACTAGGGCAACAATGCATTCTTAAGACGTGGCTTGCAACACCTGCGATCAGCACTGACAACAATCGGTGCAATTGGCACTCCTACCACAAATGCTAGCATACCGAAAATGACACTACCAACACAGATGCTTGGTGTGGAAGTTGTCCAGAGCTGGAGTTGTCGGCAAACTCACCCTGAAGGTGGAACGGGGCAGGTTACCCTCGGCAAAGTTGAGCACGTCTTCCATGATCGACTTTGAGGTCAGGTAGGTGACATTCTCCAAGTTCAGGCGGCTGTTGCTGCCCACCAAGCGGAAAACCTTGGGCAGCAGAAAATTCTTCGAATTCACAAGGGGGTCTGTCTCCACAGTGATGTTCTTCAGGCTCAGGGTGATGCCTGGCAGGGCCAACACACACTGTTGTAAGCACTGTGCTGAGTGCCGGGTGGAGGCAGTTTCAAAGCCATTGGCTAGGACACACTCAACCATAAAGCAAAGAATGCAAAATACACAAAACAAGACTGTGTGCATGCCGTTAGCACAGCAGGTAGGATGGAATGAGTTTCCATGGCAACGTTCTCCAGCCTCAGGGTGCACTGACTGCATTGGCAAACACGTGCCAATTGCAGCCTCGCGGCCTGATTTAACGGGATTACTGCACGGCACAACAAGTCAAACACTACCCACAAAGCTAGCTTCACAACAAGCACAGACACCAGCAAACAGAGCAGTCCCCAGAGCAGCTCAGGACCTTCGACTGTTAGGAGGGGGCTCTCAGCCACCTATTGCTTGCACACGTTCCCATGCGACATGCACAAATCCCAGAAGAGATCACTAGCAGATCCCATGGAAGTTGGATTGGGCAGCTTGAGCGCCCGCTGCTCATTAGCTCAAGCAGACATGTGCTTCAGCACTTGTCCATCGCGCATTCAATGTGATGCGGGCGACAGAATGGAAGCCTCCAGTCTGTTGTGACAGGCGCACCAAATTTAACAGGCCTGCCAAACATCCACATGGCGTGCTTTCTTTGGGTGCAGGCACCGGCACAAACCACCCAGGTGAGTCTAAGGCCCACGGGGCTGACCATGGGTTGACCACGTTGACAAAGGGTTGATCATGTTGACTGGTCGCCACAGGCTGGGCGCATGCACACAAGCGTGCTGGCATCAACCCTCCAGCCCTAGTCCGCTCCTTGACAACGATCGGCACGACGATGTGCAGTGCGTGTGAAGGGCAGCACGCCAGCACCGCAACGGGGTGGATGGTGCGACGCACCCAACCCGTCAGGGTAATCAAACAAGGAAACAAAGGACAAAGGAACAGATGAAATAATGCTCAAGATTGCAAAGCGTCTACCGACGTGCCACATGGGCAGATCACGCTTGGCACACGACCAGCGTTGCCGCGTCGCGCCGCGGAAGGACGCCAATCCATCGAAGAGCAATGTAGCGGGAGGCCACGCTCGCTGCTCCGCTTCCCTCCGAAGGGGCCGCCGAACGCGCCGCCCACCGGCACGGGTCAAACCCCGTCAGCGTGCGGCGCCGCAGCTTCCTGCGGGTCTCTGGATTGCTCGCGCAGGCCGATTGCAGCAGAGGGGCTTCCAGTATCCCACCCATTGGCCATCAGCCAACGCTCGCGCGGAGGGCGACACCACGCTCGTGATGCCACGCCCATGATCAAGCCCCCTTTCCGCAGCTGAGAATCAACCGCAGTTCCCTCAGAAGCACGAGTCAACGTTTCCGGACCCCGTTCTCGCCGGCAAATCTCAGCCATCGCGACCAGTCCCTCGCAACTGACCCACGCAGCACACCTCCGCCACTGACAACCGTAGCTCACTGCCTATGGCGATCTTCCGATCGCGAATTTCCGACACGCCTCCGAAATTCTCCTACTGGCCCCCGTCCTTTCTCTTGCCAGGCTCCCCCAACCCCACCACACCCCCGTCCTTCCTTCCACCCGCGCCAGCTCAAATCTCCACTTGTCAAACAAAACCAAAGCACCAAACAAACACCAAACACAGGCCACCGCGCCAAGCTGGCCCCCCAGCCAACAGCCGCCGAGTTTTCTCCGCACATTTCGCATCGCGCGATTTTCCCCACTCACCCTCGTGCACGCGCACGGCCTTTTCGGGGTTCTCATCGTCCTCCCTCCCCGTGCTCCAAATCACGTGGTCCGCGCCGAGCACGGTGACGTTCCTCAGCACCGGGAGGGTCACGCCCCCCTCGGGCGGCCCGTAGGCAAAGGCGGTGTAGCTCTCCAGCCTCACGACGTCGCAGGCAATGTCCAGGCAGCCCTCCCCCTTGCACGCCATTGCCTGGTAGAAATCGGCGTACAGGAAGATCGGCGTGGGGCACTCAATCGGATGGTTGCCGTTCTTGGCCTCCTCGAAGCCGACATCCGCCTGGCCGGCCACCAGGGCGGCCGCAGAGAGGACGATGAGCTGCAGGGGTGGCCACAAAAGCAGCTCAGAATGCGCAATCGACCCCGATGGAGCCAGCGGAGGGAAGGGTGGGATGGCGCGCTTGAGCACAGGGTGGGAAGCACGGGGCGGTCCTGACAAGCGGGGCGGGGTGGGGGGGCGGGGCCCACCACGCCCTCAGCCCCTCGCGTCGCCGGGGCGAATTCGCCAGTCTGTCTAGTCAGTACAGGGACGCGGTTCCCCATCCCAGCCTTCCCGCAGCTTGGAACCCCCACCCCGCCCGCGAATAGGTGAACGGCCAAGGGCTCATCTCGCCCAAAGCGGCAGACTCCTCGCGCCGCTGGGCACCCCAAAGCACCGCGACTGCCGTCGCGGGCCGCCGCGACATCGGCACTGGCAGCGACAAAGGGCCCCCACGCGACACCCCCTGGACGCCATCCGCGCACTCAAGACCCCTCCAGCTCCACATTCGGCGCATCATCGGCCAATCCCGCCCCAGAGACTCAACCCCGCGTCGACAACCCGATCGCCACTTCCCCCCCGCATGCTCACCGACACCAAGGCCGCCCTGCCGGCCTTCCTCATCGCCAGCGCCCTCCCCTTGCTCCCAATGCCGTGCTCGATAGCTGCAGGCGTCCGAATTCGAGTTGCATGCGCCCACTCCGGCCACGCCCTCCACCCGCGCTCGCTCTCCCGCCCCGCAGAGAAAAGCGCTCCGAGGATGCGCAGGTCTGCCCGGCGATTGGGGTAGGTCGCCCCGGTGCGGAGATCCGCTAGCGGAGGTTTAGTGCGGCGTGAGCGGGGCACAGAGTCGTAGGCTCGCCGGTGGCGGAGGCTGGTGGGGCGCGGGGAGGGGGGGCGGCCGCGTGGAGTGAAGCCTCAGAAGTCTCAGGGTGGCGCTGAAAGGGGCTCGGAACACATCAGGGAGCGAGCGGGGGTGGATGCAGGGCCACGGCGAGAGTGGGTGATGGATTTTGGTTGATTATTCAGCCAATCAATGTTGATTGGCTTTGATTGACGGAGACTTTTGTTGGGGTGAATGGGACTTTTGTTCGGTGGGAGGAGCGCTTTTGTTTGGTGCGGGGACTGGTGTGTGGCGCAGGAAAGGATGCGGAAAAGAGGGGATATACTGAAGTGCGGGATCGCGGGGAGTGTGACGTGCACTACATTGGTACAGTGCAGGAGGTGTGTGTGAGTTTGTGTGCGTGGGCGTGCAGCGGAGGGCACCCGTGTTTGGCCTCGCGTAAGGAAAGGGCCTCGGTCGGTTTTGCCGCGCTCCCCTCTGCTGCGTCTGCTGCGCGGATATGATTGCTTGGCGCTGCATCCATCGAATCGAGGAGGGCAATGTGCAGCGATATTCTGTTCTTCTCAAACGGGATTTGTCTTTGCGCGCGCGGTGGTGGTTGGTTGGAAGGCGGGCAATGTCCTGTAGCTGTTTCCGCACTCCCACGCTTTCAACACACATGCCAAACAGATGCAGCATGGTGTGGTGTATTGAGACTGTTCCGGTGCGCTTGTGCGCATCGAAACCCACACCGCGCACGCATTAATTTTCGCCTTCTTCATGCAAGTGCTTGCTGGGCGCTACTGTGGGGTGCCCATCTCACAGATCCTGTGCACTTCCTGCGCTTGGGAACAATTGTCTTGTTGGTTTTCCCGCCACGTTCTTTGTACTGAGACGTCATCAGCTGGCTGGTCGTCGCTGTCTCGGGAAAGGGACGCTGAAGACTCGCGAGCTGCACAGAATTCAATCCAGACAATTACAGGTCGTGCCTACTCAAAGTTGAAACCAGGTAAGGACACGTTTTAGCCGCCCACTCGCACGGAATGATGTCCCTTCGCTGCCTGGCATGTTCTTTGCAGATGTGCTTCAGCAAGGATACAAACCCATATGCGGCGTCTACACAAGGTGAGAAACAAGGTTCTGAGTAATGCTGCTCCGTTCTCGTCCCAATCACATGGCATTCATCGTCGCAAGAGACAATGGCCAGGCATCGCCAGTGCATCGGTCGGACGATGCTTTCCAAGTCAAGCCATTGAAATCCGTGAAAGCAAACCGTGGACACAAAGCCAAAATTCAACGAGTCAGAGACATTCCAGAAACTCAGCGCCGTCGTCAGCGACTCGTCTACAGATACACAAAACTGGTGCCGCAGAGATCGACATCGCGGCAATCTGCCCGCGCCCAAGCCCCGATTCCTTTTCTAAGACTCCGCATCAGCGTGCGCATGTCCATCCTATTCGAACCCCCCGCCGCTCATCCGTCCATCCACGATCCCCACCGAGCCTCACGAGGCTTCTCAGCACCTTAATCTCGAAAGCTGTAAGGCTCAACACTTATTCAACCTGCAGGAAGGGAATCTCAGCGCAACAACGGTCGATCCCCGCGGTGTTTCGACTGCCCACCTCGCGCAACAAGCCAGCCTGGCCTGACCTCTGTTCCAATTCTGCCCGCGACGGCAGCCGCACAGACACACGCACACAAGCGCCCCCCCCCCCCCAAGCACCGCCACCAGCACAGCACTTGCCCCAAACCCTTGCTTATCATAGCCCCGAGGCGATGGCACTGCTTAACACAGTACTTGCCCTAGTCCTCACTTCTCATGCCAAGGCACAAATGGCAGTACTTTACCGCAGCACTGGGCTTCACCGGTCATAGCCCGGCCCCGACGGCGGGCTCGGGCTCTTCGTGGGCGGGGCGGGCGTCGTGGTCACGGTTAAGCCGGGCGACTTGGCCGGCTTTTCCGCCGGCTTTTCCGCCGGCTTCTTAAGGGCCACGGGCTCGGAGAAGAAAAAGTCATCCATGACCACCACCTCGTGCTCGGGGGGGAAGTCGTCCACGCCCAGAATGGCGTTGCCCAGGGTCACCTCCACGCTGCCCACGACGTCGTCGGGAAAGTACACGCCCAGGAACGACAGCCCCTGGGGGTCCGCCACCACAGGAAAGCTGCCCAGCGACTTGCCCTCGGGGTCAAAGTACTCGATGCTGCTGACCTTCTCGTTGTCCACGTCCACGAAAATGGCGCCGAATCCCGCTATCCACGCTTCGTCATTTTTTGGCGAGCCCGGGATCGAGAACTCGGCCGTGAAGACATTGTGCGTGAGCGGGCTGAAGATGCGCTCCGGGCTGAACGCCTGGAACTGCTTGGGGTACTGCGGGTTGATGCTGTCGAAGAGGTTGTCAGGGAAACCGGGGTCGTCCTTGGCCGGGTTGCTGACGCGGAACTCGTCGCCCTTGACGCTGAGCAGGATGCCGCGCGTGACCGTGTCGCGGAAGAAGTTGCCCGGCATGTCGAAGGGCACGGCGGCGGCGTCCCAGTTGATTGACCTGAGGGGCGGAGCGCGCGACGTGAGGCTTGAGGAGGAGCACGCCAAGCGAAGTATGACCAGCGACGTTATGCCGCCATTCATGATGCAGAAATAGTTTCAAGTTTAAAAAATGAAAATCTGTTCAAAATTGGAGACCATGTGCCGTGATTACTGGGACGTCATCTGGACACGCCCACGCGCGCAAAGCCAGCCGCATATCGCCAATTGCGTCCATGTTGTAACTTCAACTTTGCTTCATCTTTTTATGCATTTGTACAGTGAGCACACCCCACCCATATCCGGGATTAAAAGTATGTTGGAACATTTGCCGCGTAGCCATGCATTACACAACTGCACACACAGCAACTGTGCGATTAATCAGCAGGACTATGACAGGAAATACGTTGGCGGACTCCTTGCCACGCTGGCAATGTGGACAAAGTGTTACACATCATTGCAGAACACGCTGTATTGCGCAGCATGTATTTATGTGTGTACATCACTGTGCAGCAGCAGCATGTGCATCTACACATCTGCGCAGCACTTCAGCACAGCTTGCTGCGTCAACTGCACACAAGCCATCATTGCAAGTCAATCACTGACCATTTACTCTCTTGCAAACGTATCACAAACTATCGCAGCATTAGCACAGCGCGTGTGTCGTCAAAATTACCAGGTCTAATGGACATAGTGACATACTGAAATAACTGTATCGAAGAGACACAAGCTTGCATCGATCTGATACACGAATAATTTCATTGCTGTTTTCTGGCTTATGTCGACATTGTCGAAATGACAACATATCGCAGGAACATATGGTAATGCCACTCTTCCTGGCGAAGGTCTGAGCCATGAAGTACCCGCTTTCCCCAAAGGCGGGGCTATCCCCAAAATTTCAAGGCTGCGCACATTTTGATTTTGCCGCACATTGTTGCGCTGTCCGCGCCCACCAAGGATGTTTAACGTTCACACGCCTGGAGCACCCACCTGAAGCCATCGTCGATTGGTCCCGGTTCGTTACCGTTATCCATGCCTCCCAGGAAATCCTGGAAGTCCTTGACAGCCTGCTGCACGTTGGCGAAGCCGGCGGCATTGAAAATCACGGGCTCCTGCGCATGGGCGCTCTGAAACGACGTTCCGAAGAGCGCCAGGAGCAGCAGGAGGTAGGTCGAAGCCTGTCACACGAGAGCATTAGTCAGCGTCGGGGTTAGTCAGTGGTGGCAATGGTAAGGGGCGGGTTTCAGGGCCATGACCAATGGTGCACGCCAGCGAGCGTGGAGGCCGCAGGGATGCGTGACGATCGAGTGTGTGTTGGTCGCCGTCGAGAACGGCCAAAAAGGATACGGCTGAGCTTGCACAAGTTGTGACTGATTTTGATTCTTGGTTTCTCGGTGATGCGCGATACGCAGCAGCTTCGATTTGTTTGCTGAACGCCAATTGAATCAGTGCAGAGATTCATCAGAATTGGCTAATTTACTGGGTGGCACGAGGCGGCCCAAGCGCGGACCGGCACAGTGCGAAATGGCCACCTTTGGACCCCTGAGTAAAGGTAGCCTGGGACCAGAGTGTGAAGCAAACTATCTAGCCAAGAAAGCACTTGGGCACATTTGTTGCGGTCTCGTGCTCACAGCCCTGTGCAGGTCCACGGTCTCGTGCACAGCCCTGGGCAGGTCCACCCAAAGAAATGCAATGCATGACGTAACGCGGTGCCCGTCCATCCCCACAGCACCTGCAAGAGCAGAATATCGCGCAGATATTCCTTGCCCCGTTTCCATGCAAGTTCGAGGCTCGCATTTTCGGTATCCCGGGCGCAGCCTCGCGCCCCGGACCAGCCAAAGTACTGCCCTTAAACACACGGACCACCCCGTGTACTGCCCCTAAATACGTTGGCCCCAACCGCGGCCCTCACCTCGAAGTTCATGCCTGTCGCCACAGGCGCCCCCGCGCCAGCTCCTCTGGGTTTTGGCGACCCAACCGGGCGGAACCTGCGGGTCAGGTGGTCAACGGCGTGGGTCAGGTGGTCAACGGCGTGGGTCAGGTGGTCAACGAGCACGCGTCCGACTGACCACAGCGAAGATCGCTCTGCGAGTTCGGGCTGCAATTCCGCGCGGCACCTCGGGAGGAACTTTTCGTCGATTTCGAACTTTCGGACAAAACAAGGCATCGAAACATCTCGACACCGGGCATCTAGATGCGCTCTCCCTCGGGTAGCCCCGGGCGAAGCCGCGGGAAAGCGCGTGACTCAGCGCAGCGCACCGTGCCCAACCCACTTCCAGAACGTTCCTATTCACCAGCCGCCCGCCATTATGATGGTTTTCAAGCCCTGCCGGCCCTTCCACCCACAGACTGTCACCGACATCCGTCCGCATCCAGGCGCAGGGCCCAGCAGGCACCGAAAGGGCGCATCTCTCTCGGACGCGCCCGGCAGCCCCAGCCAACTTTCATTGTCGGTCACGGGGCAAGATTGCCGCTTAGGGGGAAATCAATTTTCGCTTGCCGCACCCCCACCCCCCCACCAATGCGCCCACGACACCGACCGCCGGCAACGGCCAGTCGGCTCGACAGGCCGCGAGCGTCGCTGGACGCCAACGGCACTGACGCTATCCCCGGGGAACATTCCCCCAAACATCCGTCCGCCAGAACAGCCAGTGAGCTGAAATCTCAAACACACGTCAAGGCGCCAAGTCGCTGGATCCATCCGCAGATGAGATCCCAGCTCCTGGAAGCCTGGCGGAGATCGGCGGCAGGCTAGGGCGCAATTCGTCCAAGCGCATATTCGCGAACTGGCGGCATCTGCGGGGAGCTATGACGTGGCATGCTCGAAGGCACGGCCAGGAAAGGCACGCCTGCTGCGCGAGCAAGCCGTGGGCGAGATGGCAGTGGGCGCACCTCGCGAGGACGCCACAGGCAAGTTGAGCGGCCTCTGGGGGAAGGCTTGGAGGCCTGGGGGGTGTGCGCTGCGTGGGCAGTGGGTGTTTTATTTGTACCATGGCCACCCTCGTGCAGCAATCCCGTGCGTCACACTTCCGGGCAAGGCGCTTCCCCGTTGCTGCGAGTCACGGCGGCATGATACATGGATCCATGCACCAGGGGGGCGTTGACCGTGCATGATGGCGGTGTGCTGTGGATGAGAAGTTGCGGCAAAGTGTGGAATGTGGGGTGTTAGGGGGGGGGCATGACGGGAGGGCGTGCGGGTCACAGTGGCGGGTGGGTGGACAGGGCATTACAAGGGTCGTGGGGTGGTGTCGGTGCGCGGGAACCTCTCACCGCAGGGGCCTCGACGCCTTTATATAAAGTCATCAATGCCTTGTGCTGGCAAGATCCTCAGCTGCTGCGTGCTGACTTCCGAGACGTCACGTCCCGGTACCTATCCCAACGCAACACCGTCGGCGCGAAGGGGTTCAATGTACTGTTGGGCAATTGTCGCCATCCATGTACTGGGTTCAGCTGTTTTCGAATACCATTCAGAAGTTGGCCCTTTGGCCCGCACTTTTTCACCTGCCCGCACTTTTTTCGTCTTCATTTTATGCAACAAAGCCTGCAACTGTTCCTGTTATGTGCCACCGTGTCGTCCCACTCACTCGCTGGCTGGGGTGTGCTTTTGCTGTTCTTCTTACCATCGCCATTCGCTCATCGCGTTTTCTGGTATGCCCACTTGCTGACTGCCGTGTCTTTTGCATATATATTGTGTGCTTTTTCACGAGTTCACAGCCTGTAGGATTGACACAGAGGCTTGTCTGATCGGCCTCCCGCTCGTGTGCCTGTTCATCCTGTGTTCCACTCATTCTCTGGCTGAGCCTGGTTGCCAATTCCTGGTCTCGAATTCTTTTGGTTGCTGGGCGTCAGTCTACTGCGACTTTCCGCTCACTACAGAAATTGGACCATTTTTCACTGTGTTCATCTTTCATCAGTTCGCAGATGCCAGTCTGCACCCGATGTGCTTGCTGCTTTTGCTGTCACATATTTCAGCATTATGTGGCTCTGTGTGAGGTCTGTTGTGGGCTCTCACCTCAATCCAGAATCCCATAGTGGCCAAATCTCAAATCATTTGGGGACATTTGCTCAACTGCAAGCTGCCTTTCGCACTCCGTGAAAGAGTGCTGACTGGGCGAGAGCGACTTGACACCGTGCCATCGCGCAACAATGCCAACCACCAAGGTTACCACCGCTTGTTGCCTTTTCTGACCAACGGGGTGGTCAGTCACAAATGTTGCTCTCCGATCAGCGCCGTGAGCCCATGCTTGGAATTGAATGGAGTGAGCCCATTGCAACTCGCCATCTCTGCAAAGAGGCGCAGCATTATTGGCAGCAAAGCCAACCCCAACTGTACATCCCCTACACGCACACACATGCAAGCTCCGGTTCGCTTGCCCCAGAACGCCGGGACACGCCCATTCTTGAGGGACGGCGAAAAGAAGCGCACGATGAAAATGGAATTGCTTTTCCAAAATATTATTGAGCAGAAGACGGGAAGAAACTAGGTATGAAAACTTGGGCGCCTTAGCTGCAGCGCTGGTGGCCCTTCCTGCAACTGGGTCATCGATGCCCTGCTCAGGGCGCGTCATGATGGACAAAGTTGCAGCAGTGCTCCCGCACCAAGCCGGTGTGCTTTCATGCCAATGCCCACGCTGCCTTTGGGTCACCTGACGCCCCGTGTACCGCTTCGCGACGCCCAGGCCATGACACAGTGCCAGCTGACTCAACCCAGAGTCACCATCGACTTGTCTCCCTTCCTCGTGTGACGGCTACACGCAGCTGTCTGGGCTGCGTTAGGGCTGAAGAGAACCGCAAAATGTCAGCCCTTCAGCGCTGAGGCACCTGTAAGGCTTGCTGGTTTCGTGGCGGAATCTCTGGGGGCTCAACGCCACCAGGACCGCCGTCTGCATCTCCGCATGAGGAGGCGAATAGGCGCTCGACTCCATGCGCTGGGACACCCGTAAGGTCCGCCGCATTATCAGGCACTCGCGTCCGACCTCGCTATTCACGCAACGCAACGCAACCCGCTTTCTGCAACGCCCGAATATCAAAATTCGCCGGCTCTTGTACTTCGTTACGCCACGCGTATCCCCGCAAGGTCGCTCCTGTCTAATCAGCCACCGCCCGCCTGGAGCCCAACGGAACCCAAACCGGGAGGTTGCCCGCCTGTTCCAAACAAACCACGGCAGCTCGCGCACAGCGACGCCAGCCGCCTCAAAATCTCCTCCCTCCCGGCTCGTCCATGCCGCCATCTTCCAAGCCGCGGCGGCATCCCCGATGATGACCGGGCATGGCCGTGGCCCGTCGGACAAGGGCGCCACGCCGGACGAAACTCCGAGCATTGACCAGGGCAACGAGGTCAAAGCGGTCAGCCATGAATTCAACGCAGTCAAGCGTGAAGTCAACCACGAAGTCAGCCAGATCGACCATGGAGTCAACCGGGAGGTGTACTTGCGGGTGGAGGTGTGCACGGACGGCGAGACGCGCGCCCTCCTGCGCGTCATCTCGGCGGCATTCGGCATCGCGTTCTGCGTGCTGGCCGTGCTCCTGGCATTCAAGATCACGGACCACCTGGAGACCGTGGATGCAATTCGCCCTTTGCTGTGGATAAATGCGTGCCTGGCGGGAACGCAATCGGCGGTGCTCGGGATTGGATTGGCGCTGCTGGGCGCCCGCGTTTGGATCGCGAGGAGGGGCGGCGGGGTGTGGACGCGGAGGAGGGCGCGGGCAACGGGGCTGGCGGCATTCGAGGCGTGCGCGATGCTGGCGTGCAGCGCGGCGTACGCCGTGCCGAACGTGCACGCGCTGAGCGGGCGGTGTCGGTACTTCGACGACGTGGTGGTGTGGTGCCTTGTGGTCAGGTAGGATTTTCTGCACTTCAAAAAAAAAACGGGGGGCACAAAGCCCGCCCCCCCCCCCCCCCCCAAAAAGAAATGGAAAGCAAGAGCATGCGAGGCTCTTTTCCTTCTGTGTTCAGGCAAGATTTGTAGCACACCAAGAGATGAGCCTGTCCCATTAAATTGGGATGTCTTTTGTACAAAGGTGTCGAAGTCATGTCCCATCCGCACTCCAAGAGAAAAGCAAAGTCGTACAAAGTGCACCCCACGCTGGACAAGCGTGTGCGAGACTCTTTGTGCTGTGAAAAGTTGATTTGGAGGGTGGCAGTGCGAAATGGTGAGCACAGGACACAAACAGCACAAAAGGCAAGAAAACATGTACTCACGTGGCCCTCTTGTGGGCAGGTGGGCATTTGTGCATTGTGGCAAGATTGGGAGGGAGAAATGCAGCTGGAGCATCAACTTGGGAAACGGCAAGCGAGGCATAGTGCGTGTATCTGCTGACTTTGGATCATCATGCAGCTGCAGTTTTTTCTCTTAGTGGAGGAGGACCCCATAGTGCTTGGCTAGGTATTTACCCAGACCCGCACTACCAATGACAGAAGCAATGTCAGCATGTCATGTCACAGAACAGTGCCTTGTCGCTGGGTGCCAACTCTTCAATTGGCAGAATGGAAGTGCTTTGTCATCCCTTGTGGCAAGGCAGACATCGCCTGTGACGAAAAGGAAAGGGACGCCTTGTGGATGGATGAGATTCCAGGAACAACAATCGCCGAAACAAATTGTCAAATGGCAGTTGACAACTGCCGAATGTCAATTGCCATAACAGAAACTTCCCTTGCACCTTATAGACGATGACAGGCATGGGAACAATCAACAAGGGCTTGTTCAATGTCCCACGACCATGCTTACTCAGAGCTTAGGTTGCCCATGAGCAGGTGAAATTCCATGCATTTTGGTTGTCCAGAAGCCATGACAACAAAGGCCCTTTGGCAAGCAACCTTGGGCGCAGAAAACTAATACCAGCACTTGCTCAGTGCCTCAAGATCATAACTCCATGGACTGTCCAGTGGCACAATCTAGGACACACAATGCGCAGTTGCAAATGATAATGCTCAAAAGAATATAGCAGTTTATGGTAGAAAAATGGCAGCAGGCGGTAAATGCGGTTCTCCTTGTGGTACCTTGTGGCCCGGATTCCAGATCCTGATTCTTTCTCCAGTTGCATATATACAGAACACCTGTTGTCCATATTGGCAGCTTGGGAAGATGCTACAACAGCAGTACTACCTCCGTTCCATATGCCTTGTCCATTGTCCAATCTTGCCATAACTTTGCAGTATCAACCCCATTAGTAAATCTATCACCAGATTCGGATTCCTTGGGCGATTTGGGGGTGTTGGGGATCTTGGTTACATTAGTCATCATCATACAGCAAGACCTGCACAGCCTTGTCGAAATCGTCCCCATACATCTTCGTCAGGGCCTGAATTCCCATAGCATTGTGCTCACCTTATCCCCTTGTGTGTCAGCCTATTTCCCCAAAATTATTCAAGAACTTTGTTGCAGGCAATTAATTGGCCATGCTACAAACTTTCTAGAGTTTGGCATCATCGCAGTCACACCCTCTGTGTGCCATATCTTCCGCTATATTGACTTATGACTCGAAACTGTCATTTTCAACGATTTGCCATGTTGTCACCGACCTAGGCCGTTCTCAGGTTAGCGTCAGTATGCACGGCCTTCCTGACCCTGTTGTACTGGTTAGGTCAATGCTATTGAACTAATCCAGGTGTCTTTTGGCCTTCAGCCGCAATATACGCACAATTCCTGTTGACGCCCAAAAATCTACGGCAAGCCCGCATCTTTTGCTCTATGGATTCAGTTTTGAATTTAGCCGAATCTTCATTGTACACCAAACCACCAGGCCAATCATATTTCCTAGAGACGACTCAGCTCGATCCACCTCCTTCAAAGGGCAAGACTAGCTCCCCATGCCAGCCTCTAGGTCCCGACGAAAGGAAAAGTGGCGCCTGTGTTCCTCCCAGCATATCTCAAGAATGGCACGACCGTTTTCCACACTTAAGGGCTCAACATGGCGTGTTGAAGTTGTTTTGGTCGATTTTTTTGACTTCCACGTTTTGAACTCCAATTGCGTGATTTTTGAACAACGGACGGGACTTTTGGAACAGAGGTAGTATAACAATATCTGATTGATAAGTAGTAGCGTCCAGTGTTTGAACACTGCCGTGAGTGCCATTCTGTTTGTCTCCTGTGACTCCCGCATTGGACAGTGTCTCCTTGGGCTATAATGGGTGTTCTTCATACTCTTTGGGCGGCCGTCCTGGGCAAAAAAGTGTGCTCCTTTGCTCCTAAAGTGTGGCCTATTGTGTGACATTTTCCTCTTTCCTTGCATGATCCTCCCCCTCCTGGGCAAGAAGTGGCAAGGGAGTCTCCGTTCCACACTGCAAAAGACCATATGCAAGTCTGTGAGTGCAACAGGGCCAGCGTATAAGAGACTGGCATGTTCTTGACTGGCCAGCGACCATGAAAATTTGGGGAAGGGGGCTCACGAGCGAGTTTGAAAGCCAAGAATCCGCGAGCAACGATTCGCATATTGGCTCCTGTGGCAGGACAAAATGTGCGATTAAGCCAATAAGAAGGGATGCCATATGCTCTTCCTCCATGAAACGATCAAGTGCCTGCATCCCCATCACATGAGCCTCTGCTCGCTCCTTCCCAACTCATCATTCTTTTCCCTGTGCACATGACAAGCCCCACACATGTCCATTCAGCATAAAAGTCCTGACCCATGGTCGAATGTCGTTATATCTTGATTGTCGAAGCCAGCCATCATTGTGAGGTGCTTTGCTGTACAACCTGGCAAGTGTCGTATCACCTGGAGTTCCCTGCTCGTCATCGCCATGCAGTTACAATGCATTAGAATGCCTGTCAAGGTCATGTGCCTTCCTAGCAGCCCCACACCCTGAAAGATGATTATTGGTGCTGTTCACCCAACAAACCACTTGTTCCTGCAGTATCAGTGGCAAACTCTTTTTGCTGCCAAAAGCCCCAAAGCCCTGCCAACAGGAGCAGAATTTTGTCCTGTGTTGACCAATGTCATCAAGTAGTTTTCATTTTTCTCCCAACTATGCAAGGTTTTCCTCTCTCTAATGTGCAACATGGAAACCTGATTTGGCCATTCTCAAAGGTCTGTGACACAGCCATGCACACCAATGGGAGCACCTTTCGGTCAACACCAATTTTTTCGGATTATATTGTCAACACACAGACTCACCTGGAGCCACGTTGGCGTTCAGGTGGATGAGCATGGCCGATTTGGGTGGGCGTGAGATGTCAGGATATGGACGACACATGTGTCCTCTTGCCTGCTGCATAGGAGGTTTGTCAGCAAGGAATATAGACTGGGTGCTAGATGATGTCAAAAATGCTGCATCCTGATGAACAACAACCACAATCCACCTCCACCAACTGCTTGCAGACCTCTTCTGCAAATGTCGCTGCTCTCTCTATGAACCATTTTTTCTTCTGCGAATCTTGTTTTCTGTTAATGTTCTTTCTGTTGATCTCCTTTTCTTCTTTTCTGTGAATCTTCATGTTCCAAACTGTCATGCTCCAGGCACTTCTGCTGGGTCACCATCTTTGCATCGTTCTCAGTAAGGGTGAAGATGACCCTTCTGTGGGATGGCGGCAAGGCTGATGGCATTCTGCTGGACAACCCGCGCCCCATGGTCCTGCTCAACCTGTCCATCTTTATCTACTGGGCCACCTACGTTACTACGAACTTCACACTGGGCAGGTTGTTTCCTTTCTGTACTTTCCACATTGTTGTATTCAGAACCCCCCTTTTCGCATTAAAATTACGACTCCACCTACAGTGCTTCCCAAAGCTGACTTGCTGTGGTGCTGCTCAAAATCACCACCTTTTGGATTCAATTTTGAAAATGTTCAGACGTTGCGTTTTGCGGCTTGATCATGAAGGCTCTGCAAACTTCTCACAAAGAAGAAGCAGGACGCCAAGACAAAGCGTTGTGCGAGTGCACTTCTGCTATAACGTCAAAAAGTTGCACTATTGGCCAAAAAGGCGTTTGAAGATTTGTATTGGTGACAACACCGTTTTGTGCATCCTGGGCAGGGACCTTGACAACGAGGACGAGAGACTGACTCTTGAGTGCCTTGCAGGAAGCAATCCATGTGGCAATGAGAGAAGGGGAATAACCACACAGGCCATCATGATCTGGGCCTTTCCCATCTTCTTCATGGTGTATGCAGGCAGGTGTGTGCTTGTTGCTTTTGCAGTTGTTGTTGAGCTTGTTTGCAAAGAAGCTTAACATGGAGTAGATGCTTTCTTTGTTTGAGCTGTGCCTGCGCCATTTCTGGATTCAGTGCCGCTCTGGGGAGTTGCGTACATGTGCGTTTATGCGTTGTGAATTGTCTCCCGAACTGGAATTCCAGTCAACAAGAGCACCCCACCAGTCAGGAGCAACTCTCTAAAGGAATTAAAGTGTTTGGGCAGAGACGGCAACCAGCACTGAATGCCAGCCTCTGCTTGGCTTAAGCGCTGACCATGGTCACTGTAGCTGCTGCAGGATGTCATGTTCAAGCGATGGATTAATGCGCTGATAGACTGACTGGTCGATGGAGTGACTGGCTGTCCCACGTGGTGGCCGACTGACTTGCTGACCCACTGAAGGACTGACCAGCACGCTGCCCAAGAAATCGACCTAAGAATCGAGCAGTTGGATGATTGACTGAATGGCTGATCAGCAGAATGGCTTATGCATAGATGGCTAGCTGGTGATTGCATCATTAGTAAGGACCAATAGTTATGCGTTATACAATAGATTGGACTGATTGACGAGTGGCGGGTTGATTGATGGATGGGTTGACAAACTTGCTGGTTGGCTCACCGGCTGACTGGCCCACCAGGCCGCTGGCTGACTGGGGCGCCTGCCTGCCTGCCTGGCTCCAGGGGCGTCCAGGCGTTCTACCGCAAGTCGTACAATCGCTACCGCTGGGTCTTCGTCCTCTTCCGCTACCAGTGCCAGACCATCGGGATGGTCTTCGCCTTCACGCTCGTCGCCATCACCATCTTCAGCGTGCAGGACAGCTCCACGTGCACGCACTACGCCATCGCCAAGTTTGGCAATGCGCCGGGCCAGATCGCCGTCAGCGTGTTGGCGATGGTCAACATGCTGTTGTTCATGCCCGCGTCTGCGAGGAAAAGGGCCAGGCCCAGGCACGGCATTGCGGGGTCGGCGGACGGCGCGCTGGTGTGGAGCGAGGCGGCGTGCATGGAGGCCAAGCGGCGCGGGGGTGAGGGGCGCGGCGATTGGGAGCCTGCGTTCTGCTTCGAGACGGCCGTGAAGTTGTACTACTGGAGCATCCTGCCCTATAGGTGGGACCGTTTTTCTGCTCTTGGGGCCATTTTCCTGCGCTGAACTTATTTCTTAAGTTTTTGAATGGAGCCTAGTTGGTTTAATTTTGGTAACCGTTTAAGGCTATTTCTGAGGTGTGTTGTGGTGCCGGCAAGGCAGCTTTGCTGCCGGAGTATCGCACCAAACAGGCAGCCTTTGCGGATGTGCATCATCCTAGGGCGGATTGCAACGGGAACTGTGCAAGTTTTTGGTGCATTTTATCACCTGTGATTGCCCTTCAGTAATTGCCCTTGTACAATTAACCTTTGGTTGATAGCAGATTGATGGACTTGCCAACAATATCAGTGGTGGACTTACCCTTTGTTGACTCACAAACTCGTCGAAACTGTTGATGTTGCACTGTAGGTATGACCCCAAGACGGGCAAGGACGACGGCTTTAGTAAGGACCTGGCAATGGAGCTGTACGGATTTGAGAATTTGGAATACGTGGGCAGTGACAGGATGGACATGCACTGCTTCGTGGGCTGGAAACCTGGCCTGTTGCTGGTGACATTTCGTGGCACCAAATCCGCAAAGAATCTCCTTGCTGATGCTAATGTGCTGCGGGTGCCCCACCCACCCCTAAGGGGCAGCCCCTACCTTGGCACACGACCCATGGTGCACAAGGTATAGATAATTGATTCGGAACGACATAACTCGTTGAAGTGTTATGAACGAAACGACCCAGCAGGTCTGCATCTGCGTTTTGCCACAAGAATCGAAAAGCACAAAGATTTGTTTCACCTTGTGCACATTTGCCTGTCAAGGTGTTGTGAGCACATGCGCACAGACACATAAGACACAAATATGCTTCAGGAACATCGCTTTGTACTCGTAATCAATTCTCGGCATCGCCAGCTTGCTGGAGGGAATTGCCTGGTCGAGTTTTGTCAAATATGCTGAAGTATTGCGGTAGATACAGAACTGGTACCCAAACATGTGGTGAAATCGTGAAACAATAATGCCTACTATTTTGTGAATTTTTCAGAGCGGCATGGTGATAAACCCCCCTTTTTCAAATATTAATCAGCGCGCCTGCACATGTGCAGATTTAGCTTTGCAGTGCCCAGAATTAGCTTGAAGCTGATGGGTTGGCACCATGACGCTTTTGTAATCTGTAGCCAGAGGATTCAGATGTGCACACCCAAGTCGTGCGTGCCCCTTTGATGAAAGGCATCTTTACCATCTGCTGCATTATGGAAGGAGTCTCACTCAGCTCATTGTTGGGGTGGCCATGGGGTCTGGCCATGGTATGGCTCAATTTCCAGCTGTTAAAAGATGCATGTTGGGTGTGCAGGGCTTCCTCAAATGCTGGATGTTTGACAGCTTTCGTGAGGCTGTGCTGACCAAGGTTAGGGGCCTCATCGATCGGGCTGGTCCAGAGCCGTTGGTAATCGTGACAGGGCACTCGCTGGGCGGGGCGGTTGCGATGTTGGCAGCTTTCGACCTGAGGCGGGAGCTGAACGTGCCAAGGTGCCGGCTGCTGTGCTACACCTATGGGGCGCCAAGGGTGGGCAACAGCGTTTTCGTAGGTAAACATGTGTTTAACACATGAGTTGCTGGTTGAGTTCGTTCGAGTGCTGAATTAATAATGCATTGCCCTGAAGCATACTGCAAGGAGCTGGTAGAGTTTGGGATTGCGGTGTCTTTGCTAGCCGTTCTTGTGTTGCGATCGGGGATTCTTATGTGTGAGGTGGCCCCTGATGTACAACATCGCTTGCATAGGTGCCTGCCACCTGGCGCCCTTCCTGGCTTGCTAATTTGCGTGTAGTGGGACGTTTGTTTGTTGCTTTAGTTAGCACTGAAGACAGGTGTCCAGCGTGTAGGGAGGCTGGCAGCAGCAGAAGGGCATGCATTGTTGTAACATGGTTCTTTGTTGCCTTGTTTTCGGCTGTGCAGGTCCTCATGGCACCTCACTGATAATCGCGATAATAGCACCAATGGCCATACTGGCATTAATGACAACTGTGACAGCACCAGTGACAGTAATATCAAAACTGACGTAATCTCCCCAGATAATGGTTGTTGCAAGCTCTGCAGTGTCTCAAGTGCTGAGCCTGAGATGCCAAGTTTGCGTGCTGCATAGCGCTTTTTCCTCTCTGCAACAGCCATTGGTATGTGACCTGCTATGCTACAGCTTTGCTGTTGCTTTTTTTGCAGCCGAATTCCAGCAGGAAGTTCCAGATTTCTGGCAGGTCATGAACAACATGGATGCAATCACGGACGTACCAAAGTTTATGATCCTGTACAAGCACACAAGCAACAAGGTGAGAGAGCGGAACACGTTTGCCCCATGTTGGGAGAGCGCAGTCAAAGCGTCGCAATTTTTTCACGAACATGCGCTTCAATGCAAATCCCTTTTATGCAACCGATCAACTCACTGACCCACGTGGATTGACTGACAGGTCCACCAATCGATGCACTGACCCAATGGATGGCCGTGATCCGTCAGGTTTTGATCAACCCAGATGGGCGTCTGATCGTGCGTCCACTGATGAGCGAGAGCCGGCTGCTGGCTATGGGCAGGCGGCACACCATCGCGGACCACATGCTGCCCAACTACCGAAAGTCCTTTGCAGCAGTTGTCCGATCCCAATTTATCAAGCACCGGTAGGGCACAGCACTGCTGCACACAGTACTGCAGTGCACAGAACTACACTACACAGTACTGGACTGCACACAACTGCAGGACACAGTTCTACAGTACACAGTACTGCATTGCACACAACTACAGTACACAGTGCGCAATACACACCACGTAGCGCACAGGTACTTCCTCTGCCCGGAATTAAATGAAACAAGTTGTTGGGAGGCTGCATTCGTATCAAGTATTTGTTTGCTTTCCTTCAAAATGCAGCAGCAGCATCTACCACACATTTATCAGTTGCACCCAAAAACTCAAAAGGAGCAGTTAAGCACAGCGCATTCGGCAATGCACTGAGCTTGTGCCACTCTAGTCCAGAATTTGGCCGCTCCTAAGGCATCCCCTGCGAGCCAAAAACTGGGTTCCCGGGTCCTTGATGGCCCGACACACACGTGCAGCCTCTTTTTGTGGGCTTCAGGGCACTGGAAGGGTAGAG